TCGGCTCTAGGAACGTGCTTGAACTTAACCTGCACAAACTTCTTAATCAATTCTTATACCTTTTTGAGGTAGAGAACCATTTTCTCACCCCTAGTCTCGTATGACTCCTCTATCTATTTCACGACAAGCTGGGAATCGTTGCTAATCTCCAATTGCTTTGCCTCTATTGAATGAGCAAGGTTGAGCCCAGTAATGACAGCTTCATATTCTGCATCGTTGTTTGAAGCCTTAAACCTAAACCTGAGGGCGTATTCCACGTCTATTCCATCTGGAGAGATCAGGATCAATCCTGTGCCGCTTCCTTGGGCATTGACAGCTCTGTCAACCAAAAGTTTCCATACGGGAAGGTTAGGTATTAGCAGTGTGGCTTCCGCGGGTGTTACTGCGGTGAATTTTGTTATGAAATCTACCAAAATTTGCCCTTTGATTACAGTCCTTGGCTTATACCTAATATCACATTCGCTGAGTTCTATTGCCCACTTAACTAGCCTCCCTGAAGACTCTGGTTTATGCAACACTTACTTTATTGGCTGATCTGTTGGAACCTCGATAGTATGAGCCTGGAAATATGGTCTAAGTCTCCTAGCCGTAGTCACCAGGGCCAAAACTAGCTTTTTCATCTTTGGATATCTCTCATCTACCCCCTCAGAGCTCTGCTACAGTAGTAAACTGGTTGTTGAGCTCTATCTCGCTCCCTAACTAGTGCTGCACTAGTTGAGAAATTCGAGACAGCTAAATAAAAATTAAGCACTTCCCTTTCTAAGGGACTTACTAGGATAAGGGGAGAGCTTAGTTACTCCTTCAGTGTTTTGAACTCTTCCTCACATCGGGTGTCCCACTGAAATGCCTTCTTTAAGACTTGAAAGAAAGGTTGGCACTTGTCATTTGATTTGGATACAAAACGACTCAAGGCGGCTATCCTTCTTGTCAAGCGTTGGATCTCCCTGATGTTGGATGGTGGTCGCATATCCAGAACTGCCTTAATCTTTTTTCTGGGTTAGCCTCGATTCCTCTGCTGTTGACTATGAATCCCAGAAACTTCCCTGCCGATACCCCAAAGACGCATTTTACAGGGTTGAGTTTCATCTTGTATTCCTTAAGGACTTGGAACAATTCTGCTAAGTGCTCGATGTGCAACTCTGCCTTTAGTGATTTTACCAATATGTCGTCGATATTGACCTCCATGGATGTCCCGATTTACTTCTGGAACATTCTATTCACTAAGCGCTGATAGGTGGCTCCAGTATTCTTCAATCCAAAAGACATGACCTGGTAGCAAATAAGTTTCCTGTTCAGTCAAAAATGATGTCTTTTCCTGGTCCACTGGGTCCATCTTGACCTGATTATAACCTGAGAAAGCATCTATGAAGCTGAGGAGCTCGTGCCCAGCAGTGGCGTCCACGATTAAGTCAATTCGAAGTAAGGGAAAACTGTCCTTGGGGCACGCTCGATTAAGATCAGTGAAATCAATGCAGAGCCGCCATTTTCCATTAGTCTTCTTGACCAGCACCACATTCGCCAACCAGGTAGGGTAGTCCACCTCTCTGATGTCTTTGGCGTGGAGGAGTTTACTAACCTCCTCGTTAATCGTCTTCTGGCATTCTTGAGCAAAACTTCTCCGTTTATGTTTAACAGGTTTGCAAATGGGATTCACGCTTAGCTTGTGTGTGATGACTGAGGGGTCAATGCCTTCCATGTCCTCTTGCTTCCAAGCGAATACCCCCATGTTCTTCCTTAGGAACTAGGTGAGTAGGTTTTTCATTTCTCTGCTCAACTTAGATTCCATGTAAACAATATGTTCAGGCTCTTCATCGAGCTGGACTAGCTCTAGCTCTTCTAACAACACGAGCCTAGTGTCCAGCTTGTCCCTCATGTCAAGCTCATCTAGCTAGATGTTTTCAACCTCTTTCTGCTTTACCGAGGCCATGTAGCACTCCTTGGTTATTCGCTGGTCTCCTCGGACCATTCCAACTCCATTTTCTGTAGGAAATTTTACGACCAAGTGATATGCTGAGGGGATAGCCTTCATTGCGTTGAGGGATGGTCTCCCAAGTAGCATATTGTACGTAGAGGGGGCGTCAACCACTAGAAATTTCACAGTGATGGTAGCTTGGCAAGGAGGGTCCCCCATAGTGAGCACGAGTTGGATGGATCCCAGGGGTAGGACCTTCTCCCCTGAGAATCCAATTAAGTGAGCACTTACTGACTTAAGCTTCTCCCTTCCTATGCCCATTTTATCATAGGAAGAGGCGAAAATGATGTCGACCGAGCTCCCATTGTCAATTAGAACTTGATGAACTGTTTGGTTAGCAACAATGGCCCTTACGACCAACGGGTCATCATGGGGATGCTGACAGCCTTCCAAGTCTGAATCCGAAAAAGTGATGGTTGTGCTCAGCCGAGGTATTTTGGATACAGTGTGTACTTCCAACGCTTCGCCAGCTCTGATCTTGGGCAGGTGTGCTTTCCTGGCTGCACTAGATTCTCCAGCGCCAGCAAATCCTCCAGATTTCACTCTGATCTCCCCTAAGGGTTGCTGGTGCTACGCAGGAGCTTGTTGCTGAGGTGCCGGTGGTGGTGGAGCCCTATTCTGGTTATCATGGGCGACAAATCGTCGTAACTGTACCCTTTGGATCAAGAACTCGATCTCCTTCTTTAGCTGAATGCAATCGTCAGTGTGATGGCCATGATCCCTATGATACTGGCAATATTTCATAGGGTCTCTTTTAGTTGGATCTGCCTTCATTCGTGGAGGCCACCTTAGGAATTTCTCGTTCTGCACCTCGTATAAGATTTGGGACACTGTTGTAGCGAGAGGGGTATATTGCTGAGGTACATACCTTGTTTGTAGCTCAGGCTGCAGAGGGCCTAAGCGGTCCCTAACGTTCCCCCTTCTTTTTGGGGATCGCTCTGTCTCTTCTGGGAGATCTATCTCTTTTTGGAGATCTGTTTCTTTCCCTCTCTCTCTTGGGACTTCGATTACTCTTTTTCTCTTCATTTCCTTTATCTTTATGTGCAGAAGAGCTTCCTACATTAAAAAGAAGAGCTTTTTCGCCATTTATGTATTTCTCTACTTTGGCAAGCACCTTGGCCATGCTTGCTTGGGGAATTTTTGATATGGAGAACATCAAATCTTTAGATTGCACCCCTAGAACAGCTATGAAGGCAGTGATGGCAAATTTTTTGTCTAGGACATCCACCTTTAACGACTCTAAATTAAATCTTTGGACATAAGACCTGAGGTTTTCTTGAGGTCCCTGTTCCACATTCAAAAGGTGATAGCTCAGCTTTCTATAAGTTGAGCCCATATGAAGTGGGACACGAAGGAAATGAAAAGTTCTTTGAAGGAAGAGATTGAGGCCGAGGGGAGCCTGTTAAACCACGCCAAGGCTGAACCCTTCAAAGTGATGGCAAAGGCTCGACAGCGTACGAGGTCCTAGTACCCGTGCAATTCCATCTGGTTCTTATAAGTATTGAGGTGGTTCATGGGGTCCCTGGTTCCATCAAAAGACTCTATTTGTGGCATCCTGAACTTTGGTGGGAGGGAAAAATACAACACCCCAAGCGTGAATGGAGATTCAGTCTGCTGCACCAAGGTGTCCATTGTAACGGGAGCTTTACTTTTGACCCCTTCCTTCATGTGGCTGAGCTCTTGTTGGATGCCCTTGAAGCGTTGCTCCCAATATTGTTCCCTTATCTCATGCTGATAATGGAAGACATCATTCTTTTCACCTTCATGGTTTTGACTTTGTACTTCTTCATTGTGACCATTCCTAGGGGGTAGTTGGGGAATCTGCCCCAAGGTCTGGCTATTCTCCCCTCCTTCGTTGTCTTCTCCGAGTGGATCAAGGTGTTGTTGATTCTTGTGACGGGGACTGTTCTGACCTTCTTGGGCCAGACGTGCCTCTTGTAGGCACAATAAGAACTTCAAGAGCTCTTCATTTTGCTTTATCAAGCGTTGATTGACGAGGCGAAGGGCCTCCATCTCGTTATTCGTGGGGGGATTCCCCATGAGAGGATCAGTCTCTAGGACATTCTCAGGCTGTCTGCCATTGGTGGCTCCCTATTGGTCCTGCATCCGAGGTGAGTTTGTTTAGCTTCTGTTCATGTTTCATGTTGACACTATCAGTCACTGAGAGATCAGCTTATTTGTAACAGGAACAATCATTCCCACAGACGGCGCCAAACTGATGGTGCTGATTAATGTGGGTGAACAGAATGTGGGACCAAAGGTGAATTTAGACTGCCAACCTCATAATGACAATAAAGTTTTCCTTAGGGGATAAGGGAATTTGCACTGTAGGAATATAGTGGTTCACCGGCTCTGGAGCTCGGCTAATCCACTCTCTAATGGAAGTTTCTGCTCCTCTTCTTTCTATTGACTACTTGAATGTATTACAATACAATGCACGATCTAATTAGGATTCTTCTAGGGTCCTTTTTCTCAATGAGGCGTTACATAGTACTTATAAGGCTCCTCTCTATTCTGTGGGATTTCAGCTGAGATCTTTACTCATTATTCATGGGATCCTCCTTGATTTTAGAAAAAAATCTTGGTTGGTTGAAAGTTTCATGCATTGGGCCCAATTTTCGCAGTCATCCAGCTGTTTCCTGGTCGGTTCTGCTACGATCTCCCCAAGGAGAGCTCTACCCCTGGTTCTTTGTGTTCCCCGTGTCTTTCCTGATCTCTTGATCTGAGATCACAACTAGGACTTGTTTGAGGTATCATCAGTTTAAAAAGGATGAAGCTAAGAATCCTGGTATACCTAGTGTGGCGGGAGGCATAACCACCTCATTTGGCCTGACAGATGCAGATACATTCAACTTGAAACTAGAATGCTTCCTTGGCAAGTCTTTGTTATTTCCATCCTCAAAATCTTGCAACAGGGCCAATACATCAAAACACTCTTCTGATGTCAAGGACAGACAGCTCGAATTGTCCGAACTGGAATTAGGCGATTTGGGGTCAGCAAGATCATGTAACTCCAAGTAGTCACCTCTTAAAATATAATCAAGTTCATGCAGAGATTTTCTGCAGGAGGATCAGTAAATCTCTCAGCCACAGTTAATAATCCAGTCTCCTCATCACTCTTCTTCACCTACGAGACATTAAAAAATTAGGTAAAGCATATGAACACACAAACAAATGCAAAGAACGGCCCCAAACTCCCAAACAGAACAGTGGCAACCTCAATCTTCTCCTCATATTACTTAGACAAACACACAAAGGTTATAACCCAATGTTGGTCCACACACACAGTTGTTGAGACTGAAATAAGAACACTTTACTGCATTAAGCTCGACATAAGAAAATTATTAGAAGATTGCGGACCAATTCAGAAGTTTGAAGGATCCTTATCATCAATTATATAAACAACATCCAAGATTTTTTGTGCAACATTTTACTATCCAAACATTTTGCACATAAAAATACAGGGAAAACAAAGTTGAGCAATTAGCCCAGCAAAAGTACACACCTGGTATTCACTTCTAGACAGGGCGGAGCCAGAAAGTCATGCGAGGGTGGACACAAATATTTTAATAAATTACTTTTTTTTTTTACAAACAATAGAAATAGAACAATAATTTATATTTAATTGCATCCTATTTAATACTTAAAAGTTAATTAAATCCAACATACCAAAATTTGGTAAGCTTAGTATATACAAACGATACCAAATTTTTTTTTTTACAATATATAGGTTAATTAAAATTATTTAGAAGTGACTCCGGTGAATTTTTATTTTTTGAAACCGATGCATAACAACTTTATTATTTGTTATATATACCATCATTTTATCACTTTGGTCTTTATATACATAACATGTCTAAAATGTGTCACAAAAATTTATATTCATTTGATATAAGTGTACACTAATTGATGTGACAAAAAAATAGGGTAAGCATAATTAAAAATATTGAAAAAAATACTTGAAATACATATAAGTAATATTAAGAAAAAAAGTTTGAAGGTGGACATGCCCCCCGACATATGCTGGCTCCGACCATCCTCTCTACTAAATGCAAAGAATTGAGGAAGGAGCTTTACTCTATTTCTTCTTGTTGGGCAACTGGGAGTGAGTGAGACAGAGAGGGAAAAAAAAAACTAATAAGATAGGTGTTATTGATGTCTGTCAAGTGGGCTAAAAACTTTATTTTTTAATGGTTGGCCAAAAATTTTATTTTTTTAATAGGTTTGAGTGGATTGTGATATGTTAAAGATTTGATTTTTTAATAAATTTTGGTAGATAGTGGTGGACTCAAATTTTTTTATTTTAAATGGTCTTAATTTTTTAATTCTTTTGATTAAATAATGTGGATCTAATATTTTTATTTTAAATTTTAAGTGGGCACAAATAATATATTATACAAATATATAATATATATACTTAACTAATAAAAAAAAAAAAAAATTTTAGGGGGCCCGTGCCCACCATGGCCCTAGCCTCCCTCTGCCCTTGGTTACTTGGAGGACTGCAAATACTCCGCCCTTGTCCTCGTGGAAAGCTGAATAGTGACACACCTTTGCTGTTTGCAAATACTGCCATTCTCCCCAAATTATTCTGCAGTTTGTATCGTTGTTGTGAACAATCAATGAAGAAAAGCTAAAAGGATTGGAAAACACCTGATTTATGTGGCTCGTTAAAAATTCTACCTACATACACAAGAGTAGCTGGTTTCACTCTATGAGAGTTCCACTAGGGCTAAAACTTATTTATAGGCATCCACCAAGAAAGCATACTTGCTCCCACTCGATCATGCTCGACTTCGTTCAGGTGGTATCCATCCTAACCAAAGACTGTTTAACCCTAGCTACTCGGGTTTGGATGATCTCAAATCATGTATTATTGGTGGTTATCAAAATATCCCACATCACTTGGGTACTTTGGTTTGGCTTTGTTTTCGAGAACTAAAGTTAAAAAAAAAAAAGTATTTTTTTCCGAGTTAGATCCGTTGGCCAGGACTTTGGAACTTCGATAAGATGTCAATGTTAATAGTTCTACTCTTGCTTGGAACAGCATTTTGAGGTCCGAATGCGTCAACGTGATTCCTTGGTGTCACTTGGAGATTCCCTTCATTTTTGGCTTATAATGAATACTTATAAATAGGAGATATACAACAACCAAAAAAAAAAACAAAAGCATGTCTTATAGTGTACTATTTGATGACTTCTTTATGATTAGTTGATTATTTTTGTTTAATCAAAAAGTAATTTCGTAAAATTTATTTATAATTAGTATTGCAGAAAACTGATCTAAATATATCAGTATTTAAATGATATACTTATATGTATTATTGGAGACAATGCATCCGTGAATCAAGCACCAATTACTAAGCATGATTAGTTCTCCTTGAATAGTCTATTCACATATAACAACTGTACATGCTCTTGTTATATATTGTTATAGAGAATATACTACAGCTCTTGCTTATTTGAGTGAGATTACCAAAAATCCTCTGCCATTGTCTTTCTATCAGAGCCTATCAACAAATGTCCAAAATTTTTCAATGGCCTCAACCACACCTGCAGTCTCATTAATCTCATCCTCCTCCTCTACAACGTCCCAAACTTCTACCCTCACAGCACCTCTTAACCTGCAGAGCCTAGTGACAATCAAACTAATGAAGGATAATTACCTTCTCTGGCGTGCCTAAATTCTGCCATATCTCCATAGACAACAACTTTTTGGTTATGTGCATGGAACAATTAGTTGTCCTCATGTAATTTATGCCTCTACCCAAATAGACGGGGATCAAATCCTAATGCTCAATGCAGCATATTTCCAATGGTACAATCAGGATCAAGTAATCCTTGGGGTTCTAATGTCATCCCTCTCTGAGTCCATCATCACTCACATGGTCGGTCTTGAAACCTCCAGAGTAGTGTAGTGTGCCCTTGAGCGCATGTTTTCTAATCATGCACGAGCATGTGTGCTGGGCATACAAGTTGAGTTATCAACGCTCAAGAAAGGCAATCTGTCAATCTTAGATTATTTTTAGAAGGTCAAGACCTCTGTGGATACTCTTGCAGCCATAGGTGAACCTCTTCGAGATTCTGAATTTCTCATGTACCTACTGACTGGACTAGATAACTCTTATACCTCCATAGTCACATCTCTCTCATCCCTGGCAGATGCCTTTGCCTGGTAGATGCCTTTGCTCATCTCCTGAGCTTTGAACTTTGCCATGAGCAGCAAACCTCCGCCATTGATCTCTCCATTGGATCTGCCAATATGGCTACTGAACCTCACGGACGTGTGGGTAGGTTCCACAACCAGCGTTCTTTCAACAACAACAGGGATGGTGAAAATCATGGCCGTTGGAGAGGCTCCCAATTTCAGTCTTCTAGGTCCTGATCGATGTACCAGTTATGTGGAAAACATGGTCGCACCGCAGTCCAGTGCTACCATCTCCTTGATCTTTCTTATCAGGGCTCCCAACCAAACATGCAAGCCTTTGTTGCGGACCCACAGTCTCAGAATGATCTAAACTGGTATACAGACACTGGATCCTCCAACCACCTCACAAACGATTCCCAAAATCTAAATCTTGGTGCTGGTGACACGGACACTATTCAAGTCCAGGACGGAACAGGTTTGCCTATTAGTCATATTGGTTCCACCAGCCTCTCTTCCCCATTCAAACTTTAAATTAAATTCAATTCTACACGTTCCTCACATCAAAAAAATTTACCGTATGTCAGTCAATTTACATCTGACAATAATGTTTTCATTGAATTTCATGCTTGGGATTTTTCTGTGAAGGACGAGTGCACACAGAAGCTCTTATTCAAAGGCAAAACTGAAGGTGGTCTCTACCCCTCTAGTTCTACATATCCACTTTCTTCCCGTCCACCCCTCCAAGCTCTCTCCTGTAAGCTTTTTGCCCTGGTTGTCAGACGCTCTCACCTTGGCCCTGCGTTATACAAGACTGTCAGACATCTAGCCTCTACTTTATTTTCAATATCGTCAAATAAAACACCTGTTGTGTGCAATGCTAGTCGGTAGGGTAAAATCCATCGCTTCCTTTTGTGTCTTCCGATCATATTTCAGAAGGCCTGTTAGATTTAGTATTCTCTGATGTATGAAGTCCCCCTATAATGTCTAAGAATGGAAATAAATACTAGGTTTTTTTTTTTGTTGATCATTTCAGCAAGTTTACGTGGATTTATCCTATTCCTACTAAATCTTCGGCTTTCTTTATTTTTTGTTCATTCCAAAGACACGTTGAAAGACTCATAAATCAAAAAATCAAATGTGTCCAAACAGTTTTTTTTTGGGGAGTGAGTTTTGGACACTTCACACACTTTTTTGCAAAACAAAGCAACCCATCATATCACTTGCACACGTAGTTTATAACAAAACAGTTCTGTTGAACTCAAACACCATCACATAGTTGAAAGTGGACTCTTTCTCTTGTTCATTCTTCCGTTCTAAAATCTCATTGGGATAATGCTTTCATTATGGTTGTTTTCCTTATAAACTGTTTGCCTACTTCTCCACTGCATTCCCCATCTCCTTTTGAAAAATTATTCAATAGGAAACCCAATCATTCCATTCTACGTGTCTCCGGTTGTGCTTGCTGGCCATATTTATGCCCTTTCAACAATCATAAGATTGATGTCCATTCAAAACAATGTATATTTATTGGGTTTAAGCAATAATCGTCATGGATATATTTGCTTGGATTTATCCATAGGCAAAGTTTACCTCGCACGCGATGTAGTGTTTGATGAATGATGAGGCTAATTGTCCTTTCTTAGCTCCTACCAATTCGGGTACCCCTTTAATCTCAACCTCTTCCACGTGCCAATTGCCTCTCAATCTCCAATCTGTCATTCCACAACTTTTTCCACCTCCCTTAGCCGCACCACAACTTTCTTCTTTTTCTCAATATCATTCCGTCGAGTCTTCATTCCATAATTTTTCTCCATCTCATTTGGTTATAGTTCAAGGTAAAACCCATCCAGTCGTGCCTTCAAATTCATTGTCATCCTTATCACTTAAATTGTCTCCACAATTTTCGGCTTCACCCTTTAATAAAGCCGAATTTGCTATACCTTCCAATTTGACTACTGTGGCCCCATTAATGCCTTTGGACAATAAAGCCACACTTCTTCGTCACTTGTTCATCCCATGCATACTCAGACACAAAATCAGATTTTTAAACAAAAGATTTGTACTAATGGCACAATTCCTTGTCTTACTCAGGTCCCCAAAGATGCTGGCTGCCACTCTTGTGTGGTTAAAAATGAGCCTTGGAAAAACGCAATGGATAAGGAGTATTCAACTTTAATGCAAAATGACAGATGGACACTAGTTTCTTACAAGGAAGGCATGAAATCTTGTTGGAAATAAATGGGTGTATCGTATCAAATGTGATTCAAATGGCAAGCCTGTCCATCATAAAGCATGATTGGTTGTCAAGGCTATTACAACAACCAGGGATTGATTACGGAGACACATTCAACCCTGCTATAAAACCCACTACTATCAGACTGATCTTAGCTTTTGTTATTTCTCAGAATGGTACATAAGGCAAATTGATATTCAGAACGCCTTCTTACAAGGTTTTTTGTTTGAAGAGGTTTACATGTCTCATCCTACTGGGTATGTTGATCTGAAATTCCCTCTTTATGTATGTCGACTAAACAAGACTCTCTATTGTCTAAAGCAAACTCTGAGTGCTTGATATGCTCGCCTAAGTGACAAATTAATTGAGTTTGTCTTCACAATTTCAAGTCAGATGCTTCCCCGTTTCTCTATAATTCTAAGGGTGTTCGGTTATTTTTCCTTGTCTACGTGGATGACATCCTCATCACTAGCTCTTCAGACTTCGCAATTTCCTCACTCCTTCGGTCTCTCAGTTTGGATTTTGTCGTAAAAGACCTTTGCTCTCTCCACTATTTTTTAGGCATTGAAGCTATCTTCACTCCTAAAGGTTTGCTGCTCTGCTAGAAACGTTATATCCTAGACCTCCTTGCTCAAACAAACATGTCCAACACCAAAAATGTTCATACTCCCATGGCATCTGGGACTCAGCTTGATGGGGCTACTTTTTTGGATCATACCCTCTATCACAGTGTTGTTGGAGCGCTTCGATACCTTTCTCTAACACATCCCGACATTGCATTCTCTGTCAATAAACTGTGCTAATTTATGCACAAACCGATTGACAAACATTGGGTTGCTGTTAAGCACAAACTTCGAAACCTATGTGATACTGTTGACTTTGGTCCTTCATTAAGATCCTACTCTTCCTTCACCCTCTTAGTCTTCTCGGATATTGACTAGGTTGGTAGCGATATGACAGAAAATCTATAAGCAGCTTCTATGTTTACTTTGGGCAGTCCCTGATATCTTGGAGTTCAAAAAAATAGCCTAGTGTGGCTCGCTCGAGTACTGAAGTTGAATATAAGCCTGTGGCTAATACTACGAAAATTCTATGGCTTCAATCTCTTTTGCAAGAGTTAGGAATTTTTTCAATTACATGTCTTATCCTTTGGTGCAACAACCTTGGTGCAACGTATCAATCTGCCAATCCTCTCCTTCACTCAAGAATGAATCATATTGAAATAGATTATCATTTTGTAAGAGAACAAGTTCAGCGCAAGAACAAAGCATGTTGAAATAGATTACCACTTTTGTGAGAGAACAAGTTTAGCGTCGTAACTTGGAGGTCCGATTCTTGCCTAATGAAGAACAGATTGCGGATATCCTAACGAAGCCATTACCAACTATGTGATTTCTCACTCTTCGGGATAAGCTGAGCTTTCAAGCACTCCCGCTCAACTTGAGGGAGAAAATCGGAGGCAATGCACCCGTAAATCAAACACCAATTACTAAGAATGATTAGTTCCCTTTGAATATTCTATTCAAATGTAACAACTGCACATTCTCTTGCTATATATAATGAATATACTACAGCTCTTGCTTATTTGAGTGAGATTACCCAAATAATCCTCTCCCATTGTCTTTCTCTTTATGTATACGTATCATGTTCTCTTTATGTATACATATCATGTATATATTATCGTACATATAATTAAACTTGAAAAAGAAAAGGAAAACTAAAACAAAAAATACACAAGTACAAAATTAATATAACTAAAGAAATTAACAAATAAAAATAGTTAAAGCTGATTAGCTATGTGAAAAAAAAAGTCTATTGTGATACTACAAAATTAATTTTCAACACTATAGGACACATAAAAAAATGTCTTATTTATTATTATAGATACCTTCATTATTTTTACTATCAATAATTGCAAACAAAAAAAGCTAAGTTTTCATTGTTATAAATTATTTTTCGATATAAAAGCAAACTGAAGTGTGAGACTCTCAACATTATTCCCTATCTTAATAATTTATGATGCAAGCACTTACCTTGCCAGATGGAGTGAGATTTTTATAATATATTTTTCTATTTTTTTTGGTGAATTATCTATTGTCAAATCAAACAGGAGCTGCCAAGATAGATGATTTGATAAAAAAAAAAGAATATTAGTAAACTATGGATCATGTTCCAACACGTTTGACAAAAATAATGGTTCCTGCATGTCTTTTAGCTATGCTCCTTTCAAGCAAGAAGAAGACATGATCAAACTCATCCACCACGCCATCAACACCGGCGCACCTTCCTCGACACCTCCGACATCTATGGTCCACACACTAACGAACTCCTTATCGGCAAGGTACTCTTCGATCCCTACTCGCTTCAATCGAAAGCATAGTTACTATTGTGAACGAATCCAAGTTTAGGGGGGAACAATTCTCAAATTTTGTACTCAACTTTATTAAAACAAATCATATTGTTACTTTTCTTGTTTCATTGAGGGTGCAGTGTATACGTATTGAGATTTTATGATGAAAATTAAGAATTGGAAGATCTTTCAAGGGATAAAATGTGATTTGCACCGTAAATAATGATGGGATTAATTGCATCGGAGGTCTCCAAAGGATAAACTTTGTCTTACTTTGGTTCTCAATATTTTAATTACAACATTTTGAATGTTATCTAACGTATTGAATATACTTTTATGTGGTCCGTCAAGCACATAACATTCAAATTTTTGATCATAAATTTATCAAGTGATACCTAAATATGAACAAAAATTTATTTGGATAGCACTTGACCAAAATTTGGTAGCTCTCGGCTAAAATTTCAATAGGTCATAATCAAAATTGCGTAAGTTGAGTAGTACTTTGTCTAAAATTTTGGTAGAAATTTGGATAAGAGTTATCTAAATTATTTTTTTACCTATATTTAGGTATTAAGTGATAAGATTATAATAAAAAATCGTTAGCAATGTGGA